TATATATATATATCCTACGTGTGTGCTTCTTAATGTGCTTGTACATATATGCATCCCTCTCGTGCGCGCGGAGTATGTCGAGGAAGCACGTGTTTTTCTCGCTCGTGGCTGGAGAGAGAACCGCGCGCAGCACACCAATACGTTGCCGTGCCTGTTTTTGCACACAAGTATTTTGAGGTTGATCGAATAAAATCGAAATATGATCGAAATAAATCGTGTAATTAATTTTTGATTGCACCAATTAATATCTTGTTCCCAAGTTCTTGCGTGTACTTTGATATTGTTTTGAAAATCTGTATTGTGATTCGTTATTTAGTAACTAATATGGATTGGTAGGTAGATAACTCAATAGAGTGACAGACAGATCAAGGTCGATTCCATGTAGCCCCAATATATATGGATGGGCTATTGTGAAATAGATAACTGGTATCTATTCTCTATCTATTTTAACCGCTGGGCGATATGTACCAACAGCAGCAATGTCGTAAACCTTAACAATTTAGAAAAAGATTTTGATGCTCAGTAAAACGTGTTATCAAATAATTTATTGGACAACTCGCAACGTCAGAAATGGTTTAGTGATTCGCTGATAACGCCCACGAAATATGATTATATTACGCAACTCACAGAGCTGATATAATAATGTAGTATTTTTCTTACTTCTAGATAAACAGGGCATATACGTGAGCACAGTCATTCGATGAGATTATTCGTCTCCACGTGATATTACACACTAGGTTTATGACACACGATATTCCATAGTCTATCTACATCTTATATATACGGTTCTTAATAGAATGCAGAACAGAATAGTGAACTCTACATCTTATATATATACGGTTCTTAATAAAATGCAGAACATAATAGTGAAGCTCCTGCACTTATATAGTATAGCGGGTTCTGTGAATAGAATGCAGAGATCGATAAGGGGTAGTGGAACTCTGAGCATCTAATATATATAGGTTCTTAATAGAAATGCAGACTAATCACGTGAACTCGCTCCAATCTATATATACTACCGGTTCTTTAATAAAATGGCAGAACAGAATAGTGGAACTATACATCTTATATATATAGCGGTTCTTAATAGAAATGTCAGAACGGAATAGTGAACTCTACATCTTATATATATACGGTTCTTAATAAAATGCAGAACATAATAGTGAACTCTACATCTTATATATACGGTTCTTAATAGAATGCAGGGAACAGCAAATAGTGAAGCTCTAACATCTGTATATATATACCGGGTTCTTAGATCCAGAGATGCAGAACAGGAATAGTGAAGCTCTAGCATCTTTATAATATATACGGTTGCTTAAATAGAGATGCAGATAACGGAATAGTGGACACTCTACATCTTGATAGGTATAGGTACGGTTCTTAATAGAATGCAGAACCGGAATAGTGAATGTCCTACATCTCTAATATTATATACGGTTTCTTAATAGAATGGCAGAACGGAATAGTGAAGCTCGTACATCTTATATAGTACGTTCTTATAGAATGAGCCGAACGGATAGTGAAGCTGCTAACAGTCTTATGAGTATAGTACGGTTCTTAATAGAATGCAGAACGGAATAGTGAACTCAGTTCCTTGCAGTTCCTTGCAGTGAATAGCCGCTTCAGTTAAATTAAACGAGCCATAATAAAGAGTTGTTAAATTATACGAGCTATATAATAGACGACGGATCCACAATTTTGTCACAGGTCTATGGTTGTAAAAAATAATGACGCGCCCTTAAGCTCAATCTGTAGTGATGATTGAATCGTTATTTAAGACAATAAACATGGCGCATCCACAATATTTAAGTAAAAATGTTATTATAACATATATATAATATATATATATATATATATATATATATATATATACAACGACGACGACGGACGAGCACCACTCTCTACCTACTAGCAAGAGCCCATGAGGTTAATGGGCTCTTGATGTTATGTATCTGTTATATAGGTCGGTTTGATATCACCCTCATATGATATCTCCTATACATCACCCGACATTCTAACAACTTGAGCCCGCGTGTGCAAAGTTTCACAGTTCTAACTAAAAGTGCACAATCCATGTTCTTATCCGCTAGACTACAGGGAGAGAGTTGGACCACGCGTTAGTCTGACTACACAGAACTCTGCCTGGCAGGAGAGGTATAGGCCGTGCGTGTTACTACACGACTGACTACACCGAACTCTGCTTATATAGGCACAGGGAGAGGTGGGCTGTGTGTTAGCCTGACTACACAGAACTCTGCCTGGTTGCTGCGTTACGAGGTACGCAGCACATACACACACACACGCACACACACACACACACACACACACACACACAC